GAAAGGAAGATCTGTAATGAATATCTATAATGAATATCTTTCACCTCTCTCCAGAAATAAGTGGTAAAAATTTCTTTGATGCAATTGGTGAGACTTGCAAGAGATTAATTATGTTCAGGTGCTCCAATGCCAGTCTGAATGATTTGATTGAATGAGCATGGGTGCTGTTGAACAAATTTTCCATTCATTTCCTCCTTCCTCAGTTAAATAATTGTTGTGATGCGCTAACACACCCATATAAATGACACCCTGAAGACAGGATAATTTACCTGGCAGTCCTTCCAAACCCAATTCTACTTGTTATCTGCACAGTGATTAGTATTTACTGTTGCTTGTGGTGCCACTGAATGAGCTCAGTGAGCCACTACCACAAGGACCTCTGCCCCTTGCCGCTTCACTGATGCCTGTCACAGCAGTATGCTCAGGAAAAGATTGCCTTCTCACATGCTTATTCATCCCTTTATCACAACTGTTCATACAGTTACCAGTGGAGTTCTATTTCAATTTCAAAAATTCTAAAAAAACCCTAAATAACACAGAATGTAAAAAAAAATGTTATCAGGGATGCAGTTTAATACTGTCTTTTACTTGCTGTTGTTAAAAAGGCATTATTTCAGTGAAGAACTAGGTCGTTTCTATGCAGTTGTACAATAAAGCAAAAAAAAATTACAGCTATAGGAAGTATAGCAAAATACAGTCATACTCTGGGAACAAACAAGACAAGGTTCAACAAAACAGAAGTATTTCACCTGCATGCAGAGAAGAAGTGGAGACAAAAGAATTCATGCTGCCTTTATTAAATTTCATAACATGAAAATTGATAGTGTGTGCTTAGTCTTCAAGAGAAGTGCACTATCCACTGGTGTTGCCTCACTGTCAGACAGTTCCTTAAGCCTTCCTTTAAGTCAGTGGAAATCCTGCTGTGGCTTTCAGACGGCTCTTAATCGGACTGCTGTGCATAGAGAGCATTCACACACCCGAGGCTTGCCAAAATCTCCCAAGAGATATAAGGTTTCCACCAGAAAGAAACCTCAGACACTCTAGACACAAATGTATGTCTTTTCCTACGTCTGAGATAATGGCTACTTTACTGCTGAGTTGCTCATCAAGCTCATCAGCTTCGCCAGCACCAACAGAGGCAGGAATAGAGAAGAAACAAAATATCATTGAGTCCCTCCTTACTCCTTAAATGTTGCATTTATCCCAAGTAGTACTGCAGAACAGGACTCATTTCAAAGAAAGGCCAAAAAAGCCCTGGTTATTGCAGCAGCTATCATGAAAGAAATGCCTCAGTAGCCCCCTAAATACAGTCCTAAGTTTTCAGACCTCAGGAGGACAAAATGAAAAACTGACAAATCCCAAGTGGTATGATGAAGGTGAATATTGCATGATTACATTTTTCAGGATGCAGGTGCTGAGAGCAACAGGAAATAGGAAGCAACAAAATAAGATAACCCTCTTCAGTTTAGCTGTGTAACATTACCAAAGCTTCTTGTGGGCAGTAGAAATGAAAATGGATTGAAGAATTGCTGGACATTATATTGGGGAAAAAACTGCTGAAAAAATTTTAAAAGTAAGACACCATTAGACTGGGGAGGTTCCCTAATAACTGGTTTACATCCCACATGAGGGTGGAAAAAGACTCAGTTTATTGTGTGCTCCTCCTGTCCTTGTCCTTCTCCAGACACCTGCTACAAATGGGTCCTGGAACTGGCATACCTTTGATCAGTCAGGGTACAACCACTCACCTAGTTACACTTGACTTTCAGCAGTACAATTGCTGACAATAAGACTTTCTCATGTATTGTGACATATTAATTGCAATGCTAACAATGATTTTAAACATTAGTATCTACAAAATATTGCTTCTGAAGGGAAACTAGTCATTGTTTTTTTAAAAATACATAGTTTTGTTGATGAACAAAAAAGACCTGACAATGAAATTCCAGGTATTTCATGCAAATTCAATCTTAAATAAAAGTCTCATTAAAATGGAGATTAAAGGGATTTAAATAGCTCATGTTTTTCTTTCTTTAACTATTGAGTATTCTTTGAAATTTTAAATGGTTTTGGTATAACTGTTTTTCTATTTGTTACTTTTTGTCTCATATAAATTTGCTTAGGATTTACTGAAATCTCTAGTGAAAAGGACTGTAGCAATATGTAATGCACAAAGTACACAAAGTGATAGAAGAGAAATATTTGTGCTTACACACTTTCAGTTATCATCGAGCCACTTTCTTTGAAATTACCCAGATGCTCAAGTCCTATCCCCAAAGTGACTTAAAAAAAAATCTCAATTAGGTGCTTGTTAGTTTGTTATAGTAATGACAGGTTAAAGTCCTCAAGTTTTTTGAGGCAACTCAAGAATTATGGAACTACATTGAAGACATAAATGGATCTCTACTGTATAGTTCCCCTATTAAAAGTCAGATGGAAAAAAAAAAAATGCAGATTGTACAATCTCTGTTCAGGTCCCTTTGCTGCTTTGCAGTGGTCCCCAAAGTCTCCCAGGGTGAAGGTCTTTGCTTCAGGTGGTACTGTTACAATCTAGCAGGCTTCTTATACAGAAAGATGATCATGTCCCAAAGCTTTCAAACCTGTAGATTATATGTGAGAAACACATTGCTAATGTGTTGTATATGCATTTATAAATCCTGTCTCCATAGCAAGTCAAATGAGAAAATGCTCCCTCTGCATGGATGGCCAGGACAGCTCAACACTGTCTTCACTTTTGGAATTTTACATACAACTGCAGCTCCTTTTAAGCTCCTACATGTTTATTCATATATGTTCAGAGTACGTTCTTATTTAAACAAAAACAAACAAAATGCTGACTTTCCCAAAAGCTTCTTAAGCCTGGGATAGAAAGAAATATATATGCCAATAGCCAGTTGTCATGCAAATTATTACATAATTTATTTAGACATATAAGAAAGAAAGAAAGATACTAACCCTAAAAAAAAACCCAACAAAGCTTGCTGCTGTTTGTTACCACCATGCTGCACAAGCCACAGTGCATAAACAAAATATTCATAATTAACCTTAAAAATAAAAGCAAGGATTAAAAAAAAACAACCTAAGTAATAGAGAACAGCCACTTCACTGGTGTTTCTGAAGATATTTTTTGGGTGAGAGTTGTAAACAGAGGCTTACACTGAGAATAGCTACTTAACTGGCAGGCTTGATGTTATCTCAATGCACCAGACAGAAATAAATACTATAGGTAAATGAACAAAGATTTTAGTCTGTAGTGGATGCCAGACTGATTTCTGGGGATAATGTAATCAATAAATAGCAGGAAAGAGTGAGGACAAGTGCATCTTATGTCACAGGAACACATTTTAAAATCACCTGTTTATCAGAAATCATTTAAGGGATTGGATTAAGACAAATGAATAGTAAATCCCACAAATCTTTCTGCAAAAGAACTACTCTCATTCAAAGTAAGATGGAGTCTTCATGTTTATGTAGCCTGAGTTTTTGTCTTCAGAAACACTGTTGAACAAGAGCATTGCTTATTCTTGATGCTTTTGCGATGTCCTCCACTTGTCTTTTTCTTTGTTCACTTGTCTTAAGCTCTGAGTTTGGGAAGATAAATAAACAAACAAACAAAAAACAACGACGTGTAGAGTACATGATTTAGGTGAACTGGAGGATGCAGATGCAGAATATTGCAGATGTGACAATCCATCTCAGCAGGACATGTGTAATGACTCAGGCAGAAGGGGTGAAAAACCTTAGCAACCTGAGATAAACCTGACCTGTAACGTCAAAAAATCAGGTTTCTGTGAAGAAACATTTGATTGTCTTAAGTAACTGGGAAGCTGCAGGATGTTTCACACTGTGCAGGTCACTTGTGCTTGAACCAGCAAGGGATCAGAAGTATCTGTAGATAAGACTAACAGAGTCAATCTGACACAGGCATAAGGCAGCCAGTTTATATGTTGCCTATTTTAGAAAGCCACCATTCATCTTGTTAAGCTATTTATACAGTGATAATATTCTGAATATAGAGATATTTGTACTAGGAGTTTCCTTATCTTATGCACTAAATAAACATTGCGTGCCACCTTAATTGTATTTAGCAGACAGCTAATTTATTCCCAGCTGATCTTGGGAAGCTATAATTCATCTCAGACATGTGAGCAATTGCCTCCTCTTTCTGTAAGGAAAATATCATGTAGAAATGCTGCAGGATACTGGGATATTTGCCATAATAATCACTGTCGAGTAACGAGCCCCATCCCAGGAAGGTTTGACATAAACATTGTGCTCTTTCAGTACAGTGACATAGTACTTACAGCTCAGGAGTGTGTTGTCATTATAAACTGAATAATAAATAGATTCTTTTGCTATTCATACTGATTAACAACCCTGTATACTGTAGGGCAAAGGGACTAGAGCAAAATTATTAATAATTGGAATTAAAAGCTTTTCTTAATTCTGGTACCCACAATACCAAAACAACAACAAAAAAAATATTACATATCTCCCAAACTATGAGCAGGGCAACTCACCATTACATTTGCATTTGACACACTAGTTTAAGCCAATGCTTCCTTTAAACTCTTATATATTTATTCCTGTGGTTTTTATACTATCGTGTGGTCTGCTGATCACACGATATGAGAGGTGGATGTAGTTCCACCTCTCATAACTATAAGCAGAAAATGAGGGCAGATATCTATAGAGGCAGAGTAACACCAGTAGAACCAGGGAGACAGGGATGTCATGCATGGTTGCATAGCCATTCTTAAAAAGCAATACAATGCAACCATCTGGAGCCAGCTGGCACATCGACACTCAAACTGTACAACATCTTTTGGAGCATCTTTTGTCAAAGTAATCACAAAGCTGCTTACAACTTTTTCTGCTACACCCCAGAAGTTGTGCAGGGTTCTGTTGAGGGTTAGGTTTCTTTCCTTTTGTTCCTTTTTACTTACAGAAGTTTTTCCCGTAAGTTGCTAGGAAACACTAACAACTGGGTACTTAAGAAAGCAAAAGAAGTGGCCAAGCTCGGAGGAGGACAGCATCTGGTTGCACTTCTCTTATCTGGGAGCTTCTCTCCGAGGGTCAGAGATACCGCAGGAATTGGGCAGGTAAGGGATGAGGCTGGGGCAGCTGCTCTGTCTGTCTGTCTGTCTGTGTGTCTCTCTCTCTCTCGCTCGGCATGAGGTCAGCCTCTGCTCGTGAGAGCAGCCACTGAACTGAGCCCTTATTATCGCCTCCCTCACCAATAGAGGGACCCATCCCCGACTGTTGGGGTGCCCGGGACCCTGAACTCGCCTCTCCCTGCCCTGGGAGCCGGGCCGCCTCTGCCCTGCCCCTGCCGCTTCCTCAGCATCGCTCCGAGTTTTCACTGCTCTGCAGCCCCGCTCTCCCTGACTAAGAGACCCTGCCGTCCCGGCTTGGTGCTCCTCAGAGCCCTGCTGGCGCACCGGGATCGGCTGCCCCAGGACCGTGAGGCGA